AGAAAAAAATAGAGAGCAGCCACCAGAGAAGAAACTAAAAATAGAAAAGAAGCCAAAAAAAGTAAAGCGCCAAGTTTCGTAAAGTGATTCTGGAGAAAACTATGATGAGACAGTATTGTGTCAAGATTCTAATAATAGCAATGATTACTGCCCCCCGTGGCGCCGCCACTGGTCCTCATTCATTTGACGGAATTCTGAATGGAGAAACCTATCACCAGTTTTTAATGTCGTTTTTCGAAGACTATTTGGATGATTCACCTTTGGCTAACTATAACAACATCTAATTTCAACATTATGGTGCTCTACCGCACACTAGCAGAAGAGTATCTAGTTACCTGACTGAAAGATTTGGTGATAAATGGATAGAAAATAATGGGCCGGTGAGGTGGCCAGTAAAGTTTCCAGACTTAAGTGTTATGGATACATTCTTATGGAGTACACTAAAAAAATGAAGTTTATGGTCAGAAGGAATATCAAAATATTGAGAACCTTCAACACTGTTGTTAGAGAGTTCGGAAGATTGAGGAGGGGGGAAATTAATTGTGCAGTGAATAATATTCGAAGAAGGGCACAGTTGTGTTATCATGAACAAGGCCAGCATTTTGAGTATTTGATGTGATTTACTTTTGTCTTTACATTTTAGTTAATTATTGTTATTTATTCAAAGTTCTATTTTCAATGAAAAGGACACAATGTCTAATTTACCTCAAATTTTAATTGTAGATTATTTTTCCGTATTTTCAAATGAACCAGAAAGATTTTGATCCAATAACTTGCTCATAGTTCGATGTGGTTGTCGTCTTTTGGGATACAAGTTTAAGTACATTTCCGATGTCCTAACACTATTTCTATCGAAATTGTAATATATTTGTATCATATCTCTTTTTTCTTCATTCGTGGAAGCCATTTTTCGCCAAAAATTCAATGACTTGTACAATAACAAAATGTCATTGAGTGTAACAAATTGAAAGTCAAATGTTAGGAATCACACGTTAAAAGGTAAGACCTCGTTAATCCTTAGCTCACACAAGTTTCTACTTCTGAGGGTTGTCGTTCGTAGGGGTGCGACAGCTGGTTAACGGAAAAACAGATTTTAAAACAGAACAGATTTTAAAACAGAAACATCAAATTATGAGACAAACCCGCCTTGGAGAGCAGTAATCATACTGCAAGAGTTCCGGCTCAAAATCCCATACTTTTTCTAATGGCGCTTCATTCAGGCGATTTCATGACCTTCGACCTTCAAAGCCCACATCAAGGTCACACGTGTCTCTTGCCCACTTCCAGGTCACACGTATCTCTTCGTTGGTAAGTGTTTCAGAGAGAGACGTTAATGAGTGAAGACGACTACGTCACACGTGTCTCTTTTCCACTCCTCCACTTTACCGTCATCCAGTAGTCCGATCAGAAGCTACCGCGCATACATTAAAATTGCCGTCGCTCTAATTGCCCCAGCCGAAAGCCTTTCAACTGAGCATATTTCCTCTATCCAGCGCTACCACTGCCAAGAGAATCCCTACTCCTCCCAACTCACACTTCTCACCCGCGCCCCCGACGCAGAACGTCGAAAACGCGGGAAGACGAATCAGCGGGGCGGAAGACCCTTTCTTCATTTTTATTTCCCAAAAATAATACAGTATCTATACATTGCTCTTTCGTTTCCCCTTGTACCATCGCCCAACTGAATCGACTTCATTGTCTGGATAGCCTGACCAGGCTCTCATGCTCTTGTATTTATCGCTCCACTGTAAGCCGCAGATATCCTCTTTCTCTCTTTCATTCGCTGCTCACCACGTTCTCCACCAATTCATTCACGAATCTTATCCAATCATCCCTTCTTCCATTCTCTTCCGTTAATGCTATCTCCCTTTTTTCTTTCCATTCGCAACACCCAGTTCTGTTCTTGTCCGACAAATCCAGCGGTTCATGCCCAACTGTTTTACAAAATTTGTAAAACAGCCGCCCAGTCGTACCGCTCTCCCATTCCCTTTGTCAGTCGCATTTGATGCATTCCTTTATTCTCTTTCGATCTTCATTCTTACTACCTATCTTCCTCACCTCCCACGTCACGCTCTCTCTATTCAACCCTTTTGTTGTTTCCTCGTGGGCCTCCAGATTACCCAGGTTGTTTGCTAAGTGCCCTTTCCGCCAGACAATACAGGTCTGTGCTCCCCTTTCCTCAATCTTTGTCTGTAACATTACTAACCTCTTATTCTTCATTTTCCCCTTTTTACACCTTCCACAGCCACTGCGGGGTCACTGACTATCATAACGCTCTCTTCCATACTCCACATATGCATCCCCCTCTCGATCGCTTGAGGCGATCAGGAAAGGGCCTCTGCGCTGCGCTCAGCTGCCTTTTCACTCTGCTGTCATGCACTCTGTATTCCCATACTTGCACCCCATATAGCACCGCAGGTTTGGCTACCCTTTCATAAATGATTCTCAAGCATTCTCTCCTGAGCCCAACATTCTGTTCGATCCACCTCCTCAGTTTTCCCGCCAGTTCACTCATCCTCTTTCTCACCTCCTTGTGGTGGTCAATGAATAGTAATCCAGTGTCCACCACAATCCCGAGGTATTTTACATTCATTCTTATCTCTAGCTCTCTCTCATTTCTTCTGTTGACCGGAAGTCTTTCATCCCTTCTCGCTGCTATGTACATGCATTCTGTTTTTTTTTATTGTACACCAGCCACATCTCTTCCTCCTATGCCTTACATTAATTCCATACCAGCTTCCATCTCTCTTCTATTCTCCGACGGAGTTGCCTTCGATGATGACCAGCTGATCGTCCGCGTAGGTTTGCACGTGTACTCCATGCGCTCCAATGCATTCTCTATCTTTCATGTTCCTCATTCTTTCGAACCATGCCTCCATTAAAAACCATGCCTCCATCACCGCGCGTACAGTAAGAAATTCAAATCAGCACGCACGATGATCACTAGAACCACGTACCTGGTAAGTGCCAAGGGGGCTCAGGGGTGAAACCCTAAGGAGGCCCAATGGGTGAGGCGGGGTCCCAAGGGGACCACCCTCTTTGAATCTCTCCGATAGTCATTCCATCCTTCTCTACATCGATAACGTCACACGTTTCTCTCTCACACTCACTTAAGTCGCTCACTTGAGTCTCTCTCTAAAACACATGACATCTACTTCGATTGGGTGTTCCACATGGTTGCGATCGGAGGTCGTAAAATTGCAAAAAATGAAGCGTAATGAAAGAAGCATGGGATTTTGGGCTCGTACCGACCTTTCTCATCTACTGATTTCAGTTTCCCGCTTTACGCGCGGTAGCTTCTGATTCGTCGACTGGATAACGGTAAAAGAGGAGGAGTGGGGAAGAGACACGTGTAACGTAGTCTTCCCCACTCACAAACGTCTCTCTCTGAAACACTTACCAACGACGAGACACGTGCGACCTTGAAACGGGCAATAGACACGTGTGACATTGAAACGGGCAAGAGACACGTGTGACCTTGAAACGGGCAAGAGACACCTGTGACCTTGAAACGGGCAAAAGACACGTGTGACCTATAATTGGGCTTTGAAGGTCGAAGGTCATAAAATCGCCAGAATGAAGCGACATAAGAAAAAGCATGGGGTTTTCAGCTGGTACTCTTGCAGTACAAGTTCATGGATGAAGTCTTCTATCAATCCCATAGCAGGATGTCTTTGTAAGAGGAAATTTCATATCATCTTACCTCAAGATGTGCAGTAGATGTTTAGAAATTTGTTATCGGTCTGTTAGATTATTCGAGCAGTAAATGTAAAATTGCAAACAGAAGTTTCTATTCCTTTTTTCCTCGTACTTTCTTTGTCAACTTTACGCAGATACGATTTTTTCCACCGGCCATGACTCAGTCCGGTAGACAGGTTTGTTCTTTAAGGACAGCACGGTGTTCAAACTGCGCGAGATCAACTTAATCATCGGGTCTGTTTTTTTCCCAGAAATCGTTATATATTCTTGTGCTAAGAGCAAATCATTTCAATTTGAAATCGTTAGTAGGGCACTTTTTCAATATCAAAAAATTTCAACGTGATTAGCTTCACCAAATGATATATATTTTTCACAGCATGATGGACATGAATATAAAATGATTGAGTGATAATTTTCAATTAGCAAACTAATCATGTCAACTCAATCCTCGAATATCAGAGATAAGCGAGACGGGTTGAAACAGCACCGTCTGGTGTTGGATCACAAGTGCGTTGTTTGGGATGTTTTCTTTAACTAGTTGCCTTGCAGTGAAAGACAGAGGACGAATCTCGTCGACGGTCGATGCAAATGACCACCTTGGGGAGACTCATTTATCTCTGATATTTGAGGATTGAGTCTTCTGTCAATCCTATAGATGACATCTTCGTAAAAAAAAGATGTCATCGTCCGTGTTAGGAATCACACGTTAAAAGGTAAGACCTCGTTAGTCCTTAGCTCGCACAAGTTTCTCAACTTCTGAGAGTTGTCGTTCGTATGGGGGCGGCAGCTGATTAACGAAAAAACAGATTTTGAAACAGATTTTTAATATTTAGACTTGTTCTTCAAGGACAATTGAGTCCAGCAAAGCATTTGTGATTCCACCTGACACCTATGGCGGGTCGAAACACTTCTGTCTGGTGTGATTGACTTTTTTGTTGATCCACAGATCGCGTCTATTTATTTTTGATGCCTAGGCATCAAAAATGTTACTACTGTGATTGACTGTGATGCACTAAAATTGACATTTGATGACAATCTAAGAAAAAATATTCTTTGCAGTTTCATGGGTTGAAAGTAGATTTATTTTACCTGTCTGCCAATTTTTTTTATAAATTTTTCAATCACATAAATAAATGATAACATTTTATTTTCTTTCCCATTATCTTTGCTTTCAAATTATGTTACATTGAAATTGTTCTCATTTTGATGGTGGTGCAGATATTGGTCCCTATTGTGATCTGTAATGATTTCTTTAAGAAATCAAGTAAGAAATGGAAAATATCTGAACAATGAAATAGTAGTAAAGTGCATAATTTGAAAATATATTTACAATTTTTCACAAATTACAACAACACATACATTTCTTGTACTTAAAACTATAAAAACAATAACGGGCAAGAAATACAACAGCCTAGCATTTAAGACTTCACCTTTTTTACACCAATTCTCAAGTAATAATAAACAATTTCTATTTACAGGATCAGCTAGCTACATTTTTTAATATGACTTTAGCAATAGTTATATATTTTTGGCACAGTATTTTATATAATACTGTATAAGAAACATCAACAACAGGGAGCACTATGTTACAAAAAGTGATACCTTTGTAACGCTTAATCATCTTTCAATAATTAAAGAATTTTCAAGTTGATAATCTGATTCAAAATAATAAAATCATAATTTCATCTAGAACAAGCGCTACAATTCCTAAAGACATTTACTTTTCCAAACATCTTACATAAATAAATGCTCAGCTCTTGCAGATAAGGAGAGATAAATTGATTTTGAGTGAAATTAATGTAAGTATTCATATGTACAGAAGCCTAAACTAGCGTTTTATCACAAAATTCAATTGCTTCGAATTGGAATTATTTTTAGAATCACAATACATTCAAAGAAGCAAACTATAAATAATATAACAAAATATGCGCAATCATTTAAAAATTAACCTGCCCTTTCAATAAGAAATTTGATTTGTCTTTTCGAAAGATATTTTAATAATTTAATGTTCAGTATGTTCAATTGAGAATGCATTTCAGAACATGAAAAATGAGCTAATACAAAATGTTCTTTTATGATAATCAAATAAATAAATGAACCTTATTGTAAGATTCACTGAAAACAATATGGACTAGGAAATATATTTATTCACAATGAATAAATGCATGCAAATATTAATTACAGGAAGAAGTCATCAATAAAAATTGAAAATATTGGTTCAATATGACCAAAAATTAAATACAAATACAGTAAATGTTTTGATGCAATATTCTGAAATGCATCGTCATTAATTTCCAAACAAAGTCCTGTTAAAACATTACAAATAAATAAAATGCACAACTATTGCACATCCAGTATAAATCAGTCTCTATTTTGATGTTTCCGTTTTATACGTAAGGCACATCTCGTCTTTCAAACGTGGGATTCAAGTGGAACTTTGAATACTGACGATTCTGGAAAACTCTGTGGACGAGCCCCAATCAAGTGCTGCCTCAATGCAACTACCATATTTTCAGGGCCTATGAAGTTGATTTCGAAGAAAAATCGATCTCTACGAGCAGAACTTAGATCTGGTGAGCTCGTTCGCAAGTGTTTCTCTTTCCTATTTTCCCTGCTAGATTCCTCCTGATTTTTATTATCCATCAACCAAGTGACTTTGTCAGGATCTTTAGTCCCTCCAACTGTATGTCTTCGTTTGATAGAGCGGTCTGGCATTCCATTCTTACGTTTATTTTTTGTGCTCTCTCTGAATCTTCGGTTGTTGAGTGACAGCTCGCGCCGTTTGTTATTATTACTTTCAGTTTTTTCAGTCTTGCTCAAACTGTCAGACCTCTTCAGTTTATCTCCGGATTTATTCAGACTTTCAGATCGTTTCAATTTGCTGTTGAGTGGTGATACGGTTCGTTCAGGTTTATTCAAGGATTCGGAACGTCTCAATTTTGAACCACTTTGATTCAACTTGTTATTAGAAACTAATGCACTTTTACCTATGAGCCTATCATTATCAGGTACGTTTTCAATAGCCATTGTATCTTCTTCCTTTTCCTTGTCCAAGAACTCTTTGACTCCTTTTTTATGCAACGCAGAGGATCCAAATTGGCTTTTATGTAAACTAGGATTTCTGTACAGATCACTAGCCTGTGGAATATTCTCCTTATCCAAATAGGATTTTTTATAGGGTTGTTTTTCTGGGGAGTCATCCACATAAGGAATATCTTCAGAAGTCATGATGGATTGTAAGGAATGATCTTTATTAGTAAGCTTCTCATCAAAGATCTTGGTCATTGTATTCAGCAAGGATTCTGAAAAAAAGTTGGATATCAAATTTTCAAGCAATTACAGTGAAATTATGTAAAATTGAAAACTGTAAAAATTTGTTCAAGACCATGCTTTGTTTTTATCAAATAAATAAATATTAGTTGAATATAACTTGTTAATAATAAAGTTTTAAGTGGGGAGCATAATGAAATTTTCAATAGAAACATCATCCTTAAAGCTACTAAAACATTCAAAGAGTTGTCATGAATATTTAGGTTAAAACAAAATCATTTTGAAAATCCACCATATCAGTTACTGATAATTCATTGAATATATTTTTCAGTTTGAAATAAAGCTGTAACAAGTGGAAATATAGCTCTAATCTAATAGAAATTATAGTGATAGTATTTCACTTTTAGTACTATAAAGTTTTTTTTTACTTTTAGTTTATGATTTATTCATGAACAACCCAATTAGCTGAACACTGAATAGAAAATTATCAGTAATGTTACTTTTCAAGCTGTGCTTTATCAGAGTTTAGCTGAAGCCTACAATTTGCGAGAAGCATTGTTTTATGTGTGCACAGCATTCTACCTCATTTTAAAGTCTGTTGTACATATGTCTTGTTCTAGGTGGCCTCTGGGGGGCAATGGTAGGGGGTCTCACTGACCTCCAACCTCTAATAGGAGGAAAGGGTGTACTACCTCCTAACGTTCAATAAACATCAAAACATTAATAAGCTATATGAGACACATGTCTATTCTATTTAAAATTTTACAAGAAGCAGAATAAAAAAAGAAGCCTACTTACCACTGTCATCACTTGTCAATTTGTTCAAGGAGTCCAAGGATCCGGATCTTTGACATTCATTCTGAAAGTAATATTAATGACTTTAATTCCTCAAAAAATTCATGAGCATATAGGAAATACAAGAAATTTCTCAAAAAAATGTTAATTCATTTATTCTCGAATTAACCATTATCTCTATCACTCAGATTGATTAGGAATAATGAATGAAATGCAATGAATGAAATGCAATGAATAAAAGTTCAAATTTACGAGTAAAATAAACTTTGGTACATGAAAAAATATGATTTATGCAATAGGCAAAGAACCACTAACGCTTACGATTATCTTGTTGTTGCTAATGTTAATAACTAGCCGAGCCACCTAGGAAGTATCATGGTTATTCGCAGTCTCATCAGCCATGTAACACAGCATTATCAACCCAATTTCAACTAGAAAAAGTTCTGTATAGGTTGGATTCGCACCCACGACCTTACGACTGTAAGTTCGAGGTACTACCACCTGTGTCAATTTAAATGCTGTAATAACAAAAAGTTTCAGCATTTGTGAGAAATTGATGTCTAGGAAACAACACAAACAGTTTGCTGATAAGTAGCAGATAAACGTTTACAGGAATTCCATTCGAGGGCAGTCAAATATAGGATACAAATTTTTAAAAACAGTGATGTATCAAGACGTGTTTGCCCTTGTAATATTTCTTTCTACGCACCATGTTCTGTGGACGGATCTAAAAAATTGGTAGAGAAATAATGAACAAACTATTGAACTGTTTATACATTTCCCCATCTGTAATTTGATGAAACAAATAATGTGTTTACTTCATTACAGTGATATGTATATAAAGAGATTCCACTTACAAAATAGGATATATCTGACCATGACTCCAAAAATTGTTGAATATTCTCTCAATTCAGAATAATGTCAAAGGATGATGGAATCTCAGACTATTTCAATAACTGTTTAATTGAATAGTATTGTGGATATAATTAAGAGAACTAATGAGACTCGTATATGTTGTAACTTATTGTCTTTAGAAAGCACTTTTTCACAGTTTCAGAAAATAAAATTTGATGATCTCACAAAGTTGTGAATCTATTAGAAAATAAATCTAGTAGTGAAATTATAAATAAAAAAATTTTTGAACACTTATGGGGTCATTGGACATATGTTGTTTTATTTTATCAATTTATCATTTGAGTATGAAGGTCTTTCTGATCAACTGAAAACCAGTTCTACTGTACCTATACAAAAAATTTCTAATATTGTGAAATCTCAATAGTATTGAAAAAAGTAACTGAATAATATTGCAATATGCAAAGGATTGAAAGAAGCATTCGAATCATTTAATGGTAAAATTCTGTTTGGAAAACTAGAAGCTGTTGTTGGTTCAAAAACTACCTCCGCAATCGAAAATACATTTTATGTCCCACAAGGTTGTGTTTTGGGACCACCATTGATTATATTCTATATTATTGATAATAACTGTATAAACCTGTTTGCAGATGATGCAATGTTATCTACTTTAAAAAGTAATTTGGATAGGGCTATCCACAAAATCAACAACTCACTAGTAGCTATTCATTCATATGTTGATGACAATAAACTTAACTTATTATTAGTAGAACGAAAGTGATTATATTATCTACACTATATAGAATAAAATTGTTAATATGGACCAGTGGATACTTTTAATAGATAGTGAAAAAAATCACATTTGTGAATGAGTTTGAGTAGATAGAAGATAGATATCTTTCTTTCTTTCACTGCTCACTTAAGTTATATTTACAGAAATGTTTCGTCTTCTGAGCATTCTTCATATTCTAGATTTACAGTTTGTTATATGATTATTCAACCTCACTTTGATTTCTGTGAAGGTATTTTAATATTCCTTTGATTTTTCAGGTGTAACGGATATAAGTACAAATATTTATTTCATGTTAGATTTGTTATTAGCGTTTCAGAGAGCATACTCAACATCCATGATTTTTCAAGTTTTGAATAATTTTACATAGTATATATACCTAATTTATCAAAAAATTGCAAAAAAAAATTCAATCCAGATACTGTTTTTATCAATAAAATGAATGATTTGCCACATTTTATTCACAATTAATCATTCATGGAAGTGATTTTTGCATACTGAAATGGTTCCCACTCTATCCTCATTCAAAAATTGAGTTATTATGGCATAATGGCACTGCTCTTGATCTGGTAGGGTCTTATCTTCAAAATAGGTATCAGTGCGTTGAAGTCAACAATATCAAGTCAGATTTAAAGCTAATTTGGCATGGCGTTCCTCAGGGTTCTGTCCTCGGCCCATTATTATTCTTCATTTATATGAATGACTTATGTAGCTTTATTTCACCAACAAAATGTGTTTTGTTTGCCGACGACACAACCCTCATATGCTCAGACAAATCACATACCAGTTTACCGCAAATGATGGACAGAAATAAAAACTTAGCAAACACTTGATTCACGGCAAATAAACTAAAACTGAACGATAAAAAACCCAGAATATTGTGATATCCTCAAACATCAGTGTTACTCTAGGAGACAGTGTTAAGTTTCTAGGTATTCATATCGATAATAGACTTAGTTGGTCTAGCCATATTGAAACACCTACTCGTAAGTTGTCTAGTGTTTTATTTGTTCTTAGACAGTTGAGAAGTGCTGTAGGTTTGATGACACTGAAGATAGCATATCATTCACTATTCCACGCAGTTATTTCATATGGAGTCTTGATTTGGGGGCATTCCACAAAGTCAATCACAATTTTAAGATGTCAGAAAAAAGCCATGAGAATTATGGCAAACGTAAGATATAGGGAACACTGTCGTCCTCTTTTTATTCAATTTGAAATCATGCCACTTCCTTCATTATATATTAATGTTGTGTTGTTGGAGATTCACATAAATATTGTGATGTTTCCGAAACACTCTCACAATCATGACTATTCAACAGGATCCCCATGTTCATTGAATAATACAAGATATATAAATTTCAAAAATAATATCAAGAGATATCTTCTCAACCACTGTTTCTACACAATCAAAGAATATGCTGCTGTAGCTGGTCAATTCACAGTTCTCAAAAAATGATTCATGTTGTAAAGCTGGGATGAAGCCTGTTCTTACGTTTGTTGTCCTTTTTATATTAATATCTTTATTTTATTACCATTCATGTGACACTGTGATCATTTAAAAAAATTTTGATATGCCAGTTTTATTTATTCATAAAATTTATTACTCCAATCTAGAGAGGTTGTTGCTCATTTTAAGTGTCTGACATAGTATCTATAGTATACAGGGTGATTCAAAAGTACTCTGACAAACTTCAGGAGGTGATTCCTCACAATATTCTAATATGAATTGTCCAAATAAATAAATGTCCGGAAACGCTTCGTTTCCAAGATACAGGATGTTGAAGGTTTATTTTTATTTTCGTTGTTTTCAAATAACTTTTGAAATACTGAACTTAATTAAACGAAACTTGGTAATAGGAGGTTTTTGAGGTGTCGAATTCGAACCTGATGTTCTTATTGCTCTTACTCGTAGGGGGCGCCACCTACACGTCTTTTTCTTTTTT